TGAAGTACTGCCCCATAAAACAGTTAATTACAAAAGGATAAAGGAAGGACACCACATTAATCAAGTGATCAACGTGAAGATCATCAGTAATGAGACAAGTCAAACTTTTATGCCACCTTCTGTCTTAGTTCTTTAGTGCTGCTACAACAGAAATACCACAAGCGGATGGCTTTAACAAACAGAAATTTATTCTCTTATAGTTAGGAGGATAGAAGTCCAAATACAGGTGCTGGCTCTAGGGGAACACTAGGTAGAAGTCCGAGTTCAGAGTGTGAGCTCTAGGGGCTAAGTGGAGGCTTCTTGACCTTGGGCTTCAACTCTGCCTTCCAGGCCCACTGGAGCAAACTGGAGGCTTCTTCTGACTCAGGCAGCTGCAGGGAGAGATGAATTCAAGAATGACAGGCAGTATAGTAGCAGGCTGCTGATTGCTGGCTCACAGACTGAAAAGGGAACAATCCCAAGATCAGTAGGCAACATGGCAGGCCACAGGTTCAAGTCCAGGAACTGGAGATGATAATGGGACAAATGTGGGATCCCAAAATAAGCAAAAAGCTAGAGACTTTCCCAAAGCTTCTCTATATATACTAGAAGGTAACTCCCCTTCAACTAATCGGCTGCTCACAGCAGATTATATCATGGAAGTGATTAGACCACGTCCAATATCATCACAGGGAATAACTACATCCAACTGCCAAGCCACTCAAAAACACTACCCAGGCAAGTTGACACACAACCTTAACTAATACAACTTCCTTCCAAAGAGGCAAAGCCTGAATCTAATTATGAATAAATATCAGATAAATCTGATAAACACCTGATAACTGAGGGGGGGAGATAAAACTGTCCTGTAATCTGAAAGAATGTCAGGATTACTGAAAGTCAAAGAAAGACTGAGACTCAACAGACATGACAATTAAAATGCAAACAAGATTCTAAATTGGATATAATTGTTACAACTGGTGAAACCTGAATGTAATCTGAGTAGGAGCTGATAATAATTTATTAATGTTAATTCCCTCATTTTGATGATTGCATCGAGGCTATGTAGAAAAATGTCCTTGTTTGTAGAAACAGTGACGTATTCAGGGACAATGGGACATGAGGTCTCCAACTACTAGCACGTGTATCAGGAAAAAAAATGTTTTTGGCAATATGCTTAATCTTTCCTGTAAATCTGTGATTGTTTAAAAATAATGTATGTGTGTGTGTATATATATACATTTGAACCTCCAGCCTTCTGGTTAGCAGTCAAATGCCTTAAGCACTATGCCACCAGAGCTCCTTATACATACATACATATGTATGTATGTATATCCTATACATTTATACATATATATTATGTGTACATTCTTAAATCACTCAACTGTATCCCTGCCACTAAATCTCAAATGCCTTTCCACATTTCTCTGTGCTTTTCTATCAAGTTCAGCCTTGGTGTAAAAATAACTGCTTCAATATAACTGATAAACATTTAAATTCTCATTCACACTAATAAATACAAAGGAATCTGTACATACACAAAATAAAGACTACTGTCATGGATGAAGCATTAATTCAATCATCAGACATTAAATGCTTGGCAAAGTACTAGCTCTGTGTAACATTATTGTTCAAGCTTCAGTTTTCTCCACTCTTGAGAAACAAGAGTTAAACAACAGACTAACTTGTCCTATTTTGAAAACAGTAATATGTAATTCATCACTATGAGAAAAGACACATGCTAATCTAAGGTGTTAAAACCAAACCAATCACCAAGAGCCAACTGCAACGCAGGCAAACCCATGTGTTACAACGCAGAACTGCTCCATAGGGTTTTTTTTTGGTGTAATCTTTACAGAAGCAGATCTCAAGGCCTTTCTTCTGTGGCACGGATGGGTGGGTTCAAACTGCCAACCTTTCAGTTAGTGTGGAGCACAAATCATTTGTGCCACCCAGGGACCTAATCAAAAGTATTAGTGGTCGGGATAATTAATTACCACAAAAGCAAAGATAACTGATAACAAACAAAAAAGTCTAAGACTTGTAACAGGAAATTAAAAAGAAAAAATTTGTAGTAACTGAATTCTGTAGCAACTTATGCCTATTCTTCAACCTATTCCTTGATGCATATAAACTGCATCTAAAATGAACTTAAATCAGGATTATAATTTACATTAGAGTAAAATTTACCTTTTTTGAGTGTATAGTTTTAAGAAATTTTAATAAACATACACGATTATATAATCACCACCAAAAATACAGAATTGTTCCATCACTCTAAAAAATTCCCTCATGCCATCTGTTGCTGATTTCCCTTCTCTATCTCCAGGTAATTATTAACCTGATTTCTGTCCCCATAGTTATGCCTTTTCCAGAATGTCATGTAAATGGAATCATTCAGTAAGCAGCTTTTGAAATCTAGCTTCTGTTGCTCAGCACAATGCTTCTGAGACTCATTCATGTTGTTGTGTGGATCAATGGTTCATTCTTTTTTTTATTGCTAAATAGTATTCCACATGCATACAGGTACTACATTTTGTTTACCCATTCACCAGTTGATAGACATTTGAATTGTTTCCAATTTTAGGCTATTAAGAATAAGATTGCTATAAATATTTGTATATAGGTCTTTGTGTGAACATGTTTTAATTTTTCTTCCATAAATACCAAGAAATGGGATTGCAGGGGTGTATTAGGCTCTAACATATAAAACAAATCCAACATATAAAAAAATCAGTCTTTGAAATAGTATTCCATGTAGTCTAAAAGTGACCAAAAACAAATAGATAAAAAACACCCAAATATTCTACATCTTTCACATGTCTCCTGATGATATGTATTGGAGTTTGTTCATTTCAGCAGCGATTTTTCAAGCTAGGCTACACATTAGAACCACCAGAGAAGCTGAAACCTGGGAACAAATCCAAAGACTCATGTTCAGCTGCTCCAAGTAGGGCACAGCTGTCAGTACTCTTTCCTTTTTTTCTTTCTTTTTTAAGTGTTAGACTATCTGTCTTTCCTTTTATTTTGAATTTTGAAAATTTTCAAACATACAGAAAAATAAAGACAATAGAGTAAGAATTTCTAATTTCATATTTCTTAGAATAACAATTAGGAGCTCTGGTAGTACAGTGCCTAAGGCACTTGACTGCTAACCAGAAGGCTGGTGGTTCAAACCACCAGCCACTTCTCGGAAGGAAGGTTGGGCAATATACTTCCGTAGTGATACTGTCTCGGAAACCCAAGGAGGGGTTGCTATGAGTCAGGTCCGACTCAATGGCACATAACAACAACAACAACAACAACAGAATAACAAATAATATAACATTCTGCCATCTATTTTTTTCATCTAGTTATCTATTATTTTCCTTACTGAAGTATTTTAAACAAAATGTAAACCTCATGACATTTCACCCCTACATACTTTAAAATGCAGCTCTTTAAAAAAGTGTATTTCTGTACATGATTATCATACCATTCCCATCCCAAACCAAACAAAAAGTAGTTTGTTTCAATCATGTAATACCCAATCCATATCCAAACTTACCTACTGTAAAGCTCATGCCATGTAGCTAGCAGTGAACCACTGTTTTACAGCATGTGAAACATCATGTTTGCTTCCGGTTTTTGCAACATCCTTCATAAGAATATTCATTTTCTAAAGAAATTAACACCAACATCCCAAAGCCAAAGACAGAAAAGGCACTGTTAACAATTTTAATATTTACCTGAAAAGATCTACCTCATGAACAGTGGGCAAAATAACAGATATATGTGTGTCCGCCTAAAAAACAGAAAAGAAAAAATAGCAGAGAAGATACCAACAACATCTGCAGACACTGATTTTAAAAAATATACCATCTATCTCATTCTCAACAAGCCATGCTGCCCTGTCCACTTTTTAAGAATTCTTTTCCTCCAGGAGCAACCAGAAAGTCTTACCATCTTTCCTATTTGAATTGTCATGAATTGTCAAGGATGATATACATTCCATGGATAAAGCAATAATCCAGTATTAAACTAATGCCCACCAATATAAGATACTATAATAATACCAGTTGACACATGTAAACAGGCAAATTAGTTTTCCTGTTTTTTTTTTTTTAATTGAGATTTTGGTGACGGTTTACAGAGCAAATTTCCATACAGCGGTTCACATATACTTTGTCTCATGACATTGACCACAGTTTACCACAATGCAACAGCTCCCCTCCCACTTCCTCCCCATAGTCACCTCTTCCGAACATCCATCCATGCACTCCTGCCCCCTGAGCTGTCTCCCTGTGCAGAAGCAGCCCTTCTTTCTCCCATGATTGTTCTAAGGAGTATATCTACTTGAGGTAAATGTTCAACTCATATGCTTGTCTTTTGTTTGGCTGGAAACCACAGGTGTGGGTTCAATTCCAGATCTGAAGGGCAGCTAGGGGCCATAGTCTCAGTTGTTCCACCAGGCTCTACTGGACCAGCAAACCTGGTCCCCCCACCTTTTTTTTTTCCTCCAAATGATTTTGAGTTCCATACTGTTCTCCCTCTGTATCAAGGATCTCCTACATAGATCCCCTTTCAAGTGGATGAAAATAGTGGTAGCCGGGCACCATTTAGTTCTTCTGGTCTCATAGTCATACAGGCTGCAGATTGGATGGTGTATCAGTCACTAGGACTAATTGTTTCCAAGAATTTTGGTTTTCTTCATTCTTTTTTGCTCTGGATGAGGAGACAGCCATCAATGCATCTAGATAGCAGCTTGCTAGCTTATAAGATCCCATTCGCTACTCACCAAAGTAGGAGGTGGAACAATGTTTTGTATAGTATTTTATGCCAGTTGAACTTGATGTCCCCTGCGACTATGGTCCCAAGCCCACAGGTTCACAAATTACTTTTCCTATTGTTCTCCAACCTTACTCATTTCAATAACCAAAGGAAGTGCTAATATACCAGTAAAAACATTTCAAATGAAAATTTGTGAGCAGATGTAGCTTTAGGGAGAAAAACAGACACTAATTATAAATACAGAATACATTTGACTGCATTTCCTTAAACAAAGCTTACTGGTCACTCTCCCTAAGATAGATGGATGGTTTTGTTAAAACTGAAGTTTGTTGGAAAGAAGATTTACTTTCCTTTTGTCTTCATGACTACTGTATAAACCATGAATTCTCCAAAAAAAAAAAAAGCAAGAGAAAAGCCTAAGAGAACTAATAGTTTACTATCAATTCATTAAAAACTTATTTAATGGGATATTTCATTAATATGCAAGCATATATGAACTCAAGAAACTTTGTATATGTTAGTTTATGAATCCATTAGAGAGACTATATGAGCTGGATTATTCTACTACCTGCTGAGTTAACTGCACTATTTGAGTTGGTCCAGGTTTGTCATGACATGTTGGAATCCGTATCTTAAAGAGAAACAGAAGAAACTGCTTTAGTTATAAAAGAACATACTGAAAGGACTTGTCTATAATTTGCCAGTCCCACTACAATGAGGGATCAGATCTAACCTGCTAAAAAGGTACAGTCAGCTTTGCCTAAAGTTATAAAAATCAAATATTCATGTAAGATTGAAAACACTAAAGTCACATTTATTTTTAGTCACAGTGGAAGTCATTTATTTTTAGTCAGAGTAGAAGGTAAGTGAACCAAGGTCTCTACATGTCCAAATACAAAGAAATCATTAACCAATAAAAAAGTAAATGCACTGGAAAACAGAAAAGAGACATCAACTTCATACTGTTTCCTGTTTATTGTTCCAATCTCTGCTTTACTAACATATACACACCCAAACACACCCTTTCACACTTGCCAAAATGGAATAAATCTCATAGAAAACCATGAGAAATCTCAACAGAGACCGATCAGTACTACTTTTGATGATTTCCTAGGGAAAAGCAGAATGCAGA